ACAGACGACCCGATCCAAGTCGTTCGTGTGGAGACAGGTGAGTGGGGGTATCTTATATAATGAGTTTGGATAAGACCCGACCGCGAGATAGCCAATCTTTAGATGTAATGATGTTGACTAATAGATTGCTATTTCATAGAATGACCAAATAACTCATTCTCAATCCTGAGTGAGTTATGGACTTCTGTCCGTGAGGGCTCGTCCTTGATCTGTATGGGTGAGAGTGGCACGAGTCGCCGACTCAATATTTCAACCATTTTAGGGACGAGACTATTTCAACCATTTTAGGGACGAGACCGAATGGGGAGCTGGGAACATAACTTCATAAGATGGAATTCACTCCTCCCCGACTTCAAGGGAGTAGATGAGTGTTCTCTTAAATGTTGACTCCGAGACTTGAACAAGGGGCCCCACCCTCTCACTGGCCCGATAAAGACTTCTGGTTATTGATCGGACCATAACTGAGTTGTTAATAAGAGGAGCAATGGTATTTAAGAAGTAAGATGTAACTTAGGGGTAAAACTGTCATTTGACCCAGCTTGAGTTACTAGCACTCATGAATGATTGACTTGCTGTTAATGGTCGATATCCGTGGACACAGAAATATTCTATAGTGAGAAGCGTTCAGCTGCAGGTTTTTAGTGGAGTAACCCGTAGTTAACATATGTTAATTAAGGTGGTTAATGAGTTTAACCTATTAATCTCGCAACGTTGGAGCTTCTGATATATAGATACACTAGGTCCCCTTGCTAGCTCATAAAGGATTGTTAACAATATTAAATCTTGGAAGGAATTTGAATTGTTCAAATTAAATTAAAGGGAATTTGAGTTAATTGTGCATGACGTAATTTAATATAATGTATGATGATACATTATAAAACTATATATTATGAGAGTCATATTAAATATATAGGTTAATGTTTAATGTGAATTAGATTCATATTAAATGAGGGAAATGTAAATTTGAATACGATTCAAATATTTATTGGTTTAATTAAATATGATTTAATTAAATTATATTTATTTAATTAATTAATAAAATAAGAATTAATTAATTATTAATTAAATTAAAATGATTTTAATTTAATTATTAATTTAATTAATTTATTAAATTAAATTAAATAAATATATTTTAATTAACAAAAGCATCACTTCACAGTATTGTTCGGAAATGGTGAGGTGGAGAGTGGGGAGTTCTTTCCCTCATTGCTTTAAAAACACAAGGGCTTTCTCCTTGGGGTTGGTTGTTTTAATTTCCCTGTACATCAAATCTCTCTCTCTCATATTCTGAAGTTCAATTCCTTTTTTCATTTTATTTAATTTCAAGAAGAATCTCACAATCCGTTCTTGATCCTAGAGTCATAGCGAGGAAATTTAGTGGTGGTGTCTAAACTAAATTTATTGGTTCGTGCGTTCGTTGTTTTTGTTCGTGTCGAATCAAGATCCGTGCTTGGAGAAGAAGTTTTGCCAATGGTCTAAAAAAGTAAATAACCTTCTTTCCAAGAGAGACTTAACCTCTAATTTTAATAGAATTGTTCTGTTTTTGAAAACCAACATATAACTTCTATAAGGAGTTGAATCACAAGCGATCAACCGCTTCCACTTAAGATTCAATCCCATCAGTTTGGCCAACCCCATTCTACTCCACTACTCCCTGAACACCTCTCGAGATTTCCACGAAACACGATCCTTTTACTGGTTCAAAATTTCAAACTTAGTCTCAAACCTTACAAGCCGTTCTTTTTACGGGATCTAGAACTAAACCCGACCTCTTTTTTGGGACAAGTATCAAAATTCACACTAAGGGCTCAAAACTAATCCAACGAAGTGTGGAAATAAATATTTTCACAAACTATTAAAGATTTTCACACACTAAAACTCTTCCAAATCATAGATAGGAAGATGAAATTTCACACATTTAAAAACTCTCAAATAGCCAAATAAAAACGATCAACACACTCCAAAAAAACTCAAGAAAAATATTTAAAAGGCTCTAAAATGTTTTAGTTCAATTGTATGAATTTTTTTGTAATTTTTTAGAATTTTTTGTGATTTTTTATTTTTATTTTTCCAAATTTAAATAGAAGATAAATACAAAAACTACCCGTTAGCTGCTACATGTCATCACCTGATTAGAGGAAGGAATAAAATAATAGAATATGGATGTTAGAAGTTGAATGAGGACACGTGTCACGATGTGATTTCTTATTAATAAAATAATAATTTCAAATTTATCCATTTAAAAGCTGCCATGTCATCCAAATGGCCTGTGAAAATCCACGTGATCACTATGTACTAATGCGACAATACATTGTCTCACATTACAATTGGTCTGTACATCCACGCCATCAAACCACGTAGGATATTTTCCTTCGTATATCCTACCTAATCTTTTTGCTGTAATTTTTTCATTTGAACTCCAATTGGAGTTATTCAAATTGTGTTGGAATTGTCCTTTTAAACTTTACGATATAGATATTTTGAAATATTAAAAATATATATTTTTCAATAAAAACATATGGTAACATATGATTAAGGTTAATAAAGCCAATAATTATTAATTTATTATTAGTATTTATTTTCATATTGCTCGTAATTGATAATATATATATATATATATCATTGATATTTATGTGAGATGTCAATAAGATCCATTTTGATCCTTGGCTTATGTATTGATGGATAGGCATGTCCCCGCCGGAACTTTTTTTAGTAAAGATATACTGTATGCTATTGGTATGTAATTACTATTTTGTTCCTGTGCTCTTTTGGATATTTTTTCTTTTTAATAAAAAATCCATTCTTTAGATAAGAATAGGTTAGAAAACGTAAACTTTCATTAAATAACGATTTAGTCCGTAAACTTATAAAAGTAACGATTTAGTTCCTATATTCTAAAATTAGTTACAATTTATAGTCCTTACAGTTAGAAATTAGGTTAAATTTAACAGAAATCTGACATGTAACGGCGAAGAAGGTGGGTGCACACTTGCGCCACTAGGCCGAAGCTTCATTTTTATCAATGGGGTACAAGATATAATATTTAAGTTAAAGACGTTCACACAAAGTAAAAAAATAAAAATCAAAGAAACAAGAAACCGAACCGCTGAAATTAAGATTACCATGCTACTCATATTCATATATTTTTAATAAATAAATGAAACTCTAAAGTCTAACTCGTAAACCGTAGACTCAAATCCCTAAAAAAAATATACGCCCAAAAATTCAAAGAAAAACCGCTAGAAAATTAAGCAAGAATAAGTGCATTGATTAGTTACTATATTTGTTTAATTATTTATTAAAATATTATCATTTAATCATTAATGTAAATATTTATATGAAATGACCATTAATTTTCGCTACATTTTAAAATATAATTATAAATATGACGTAATGACATCATATGAGAAAGAAAGCTTATTTAAATCTTAGAAATATAGATTTCTAAATATTAAAAAAAAAGACATTTAAAACATCATGAAGACCATTTATGTTTCTTTTTTCTTTTTTTTTTCTTTTTCCTTATTTAAAATATATTTTCGGCAATTTTGTTCGGAGATTTCTTGGGTAAAGAAGGAGCATGAGTGAGTACTAATTTAATAAAATCTCATGAGTTTCATCATGTCAACAATTATACAAGTTACCGTATTTTATTTCACTCACTAATTTAATAAATTTGAAAACCACAAAAATTTTAGTATTTTTCTAAACTAAAAATACACTTTTACGTCGCAATATATTTAAGTGCTCTAATTAATTATTAAGAAATATTTTCTCTAGATCCGCTTGTCCTTAATTAATTAATCTACTTAAATAAGCACGATAACTTGTCGTGTGTTGTTTTACTAACTAGAGAACTACTTACTAGTACATACTACATGGAAAATGTTATGTTAAAATTAAATTAACTAAGTAAATTGGAGAAAGATTAATTTAAATTTTTTGAACTTCAACCATAAAATGAAAAAAAAAATTAGAATATAAATTTTATTTTCTTTTTTAGTTTTATATTAAAACATTAAGGTATGGAAAGAAAAAAACGTCAAGTTTTAAGAATTCAGTTATTACACATACAAATCATACCACAACTAGCAAATCTATTTTTTTCATTTAAAGTTGGATTTATCAATTGAGCATTTCTTAAGAAGCAAAATTAGAAAAATATGTCAATACACCAGGATGAGCAAAGATTAGTTTTGTTAAAAAAAAAAAGAAAAAAAAAGACGGCATAATGCAATTTGCCATGCATGCAACATTGAAAACCACGCCCTGATTCTCATGCTACTTTTTTAAAAAAATAAAAAAATTAATTTAATATTTTTTTTAACATTCATTTAATGGATTTTTCCTCTCCACTCATTCTGTTGTTTGTTTTGTTTTTCTTCTCTGGATGCTTTCATCCCTCACTCTGCAGCATACCACCCACCTATGTTTTTTTTCTTTGTTCTTCTCCTTGCCTCTCCATTCTTCTTCCTCATAACAGTAATTTCTTTAATTAAAAAAAGAACAAACTAAGTTGATTGGAAGTGATAATATTTATAAAATAAAATTTAAACCATAAAAAGGCATGCCAAGACAAAACTTAACCGTGCATCTACACTTTTATCCACCCAATAGTTGACCAGCGACGAGGTCGAAGAACAATATACATCCACTAGCCACAACTCAGTACCACAAATTGGGCAATATTAATTTTGTTTTCATTTCAGAAATTGTAAGTGACAAAACCCACCCGCCGACAACCAGATCGAGGTGGTAGTCGGTTGCCACATGGATACATAACAGTATATATACGCCACACAGTCAATACTTGGCACCTTGCTCAACACGTGGATTCCAATGTCTGCACAAGTGTACACATTGATTACTTTCTTCAATTTATTCGCTGTTTGTTTTAATTTAAATTTCACTTTAAGATTCTTTCCAAATATGATTTATTTGTTTGCAAACAGACCATGTTTATCTCCCACAGATTTCAATGTTTGTCTTTACACATACCTCCATTACTCTATTCAAGGTTATCCAATATTCATGCATGACGCTTCAGCTTCACTACTAAATTACTACTAGCAMACTAGCGGTCTAAGCCTATATATATGCATGGGTAATCAGATAAAGAATATGTTCCCACCAAATTCATCAATTCAAACAGGAAACAAAACTCACTTTGTTTTCGTTCGATATGGAGCTCCCTSTCTGCATCACTCTCATGATCTCGCTTCTCTTGGTCATGGTAGCCAACCTTCCCAATTTCCTCATCTAAAATTTTTTTATATATGTGAAATTATCGTTTTTGTCAAGATTAATTACTCAAATATTATACAATTCTCTAACACATTTTTTCTTCTTCTTTGTGATCCGATGTTTTAGTTTGCGAGTACAACAGAGTCCAGAAAAGAATTGAAAGATCATTGGTTCAAGAATGTGATGGAAGATGAGTCATTGCCTAATTTAAAGTCACTTTTTCCTGAAAGTGAAAAGCTTTTCATTAACGAGCTTGAACCAAAGCACTGACAATGCTTTACTTGCCTATAAAATGGAACGATCATCTCCCACATTCTTTCAGAAAAAACCAGCTTCCATTAAAGCTATAGAGCATCAACCAATAGAGCTTGAACTAGACACTGACAATGCTTTATTTTTCCTATAAAATGGAACGATCATCTCCCACCTTCTTTCAGAAAAAAACCGACTTCCATTAAGGATATAGAGCCTAAACCGATGGAGCTTGAACCAAGCACTAACAAT